ATGAGAGATCATGAGATATGTCATGTGATATTAATGGACGAATTACGGTTCTTTAATCGGAAAAGGGGGGAATTTGGAAAAATATCTGTGGCTGTATATTATTTTGTATTAAGCTCATTGTGTGTTGTGTGAAGTAGGGTTGAATAATTTTGGGATTGTATGGCGCTGTCTAAAGTGAATTCTAGATTTTTAATGTGTTTGTGTGATAATTTAAAAGAATTGGTTGAATGGTGCATGAGTGTAGGTTTAATTGCGGATAAGTATGAATGTCCAAAATGCGGGAATGAAATGAGATTGTGTGAAAGGAAGGATATTACTGATAAGTTTGAATGGCGGTGCGAGAAATCTGGTGAAAATGGACATTTTGTGAAACGGAGTGTAAGGAAGGGTATGTGGTTTGCTGAAAGTCGTTTGAGTATGGGTGAGATTTTTATTGATTTCTTATTATTGGGTGAATAGATTGCCAGTTGACTATTGGATTTCGGATTTAGAAATTAGCAGTAGGACTGCATCTGATTGGAATTCTTTTTGTAGGGAAGTGTGCGTGGAATTTTGTGAAAATGATATGGGTATGCTTGGTGGTATGAATGTTATTGTGGAAATTGATGAGAGTAAGTTTGGGAAGCGGAAGTATCAGAGAGGTAGGAGAGTGGAAGGAAAATTGGTGTTTGGTAGGAATGAAAGGGGTACTAATAAATGTTTTTTGAGGTTGTGCGAGATAGAAGTAAAGATTGTTTATTAAGTTTTATAAAAGAATATATTCTACCGGGTACTATAATTATTTCAGATTGCTGGAAATCGTATGAATGTTTGGAAGATAAAGGTTTTAACATCTTGCTGTGAACCACAAATATTATTTTAAAGATCCGGAAACAGGTGCACATACCAATACAATAGAGGGCACGTGGAGTGCTATAAAAGGTGCCATTCCGAGGCATTGTGATAAAGATAATTTTGCTTTTTATTTAGCGGAGGAAGTGTGGAGGAAAAATTCGCAGAAAAAATCGTTCAATAATTTTATTGAATCCATAATAAAAGTGTATCCACCATGTAAGCAAGATTCTGAAGAAGATTAGGTAAGTTGGTATTTTTAATTATTTGAGGATATTATTTTTATGCATTGTTTTAAATGTAAGGTGGAAGTAAAGTAAATTGGTATTATTGGGAAAATTGTTATTAGCAATGATTTAGTTTAAAGTAATTAGGATTGTAAGCTAATTTTTATTAATTTAATGTATGTGCTTATTTATATTTTAAGTAGTGTTTTTGAATTTAATTATATTTTAATTAAATGATAGTTATTTTGTGAATTTTATGTTTGTAGGAATTTGGTATACGTTTTAGTTGAAGTAAACGTGCATGGAAATAATTTAAATATTTGACACTAAGTATTTGTAATGTTTGCGGTATGAATTTGTTGGTGACGTTTATAATATAATAGATGATTTAGAGGTAAAAGTTTTTGGATATTTTATTTATTTTATACGTGGAAATGTTCATATTTGGAAAGGGTATATACTTTTTCGTTATTAGGTAATTTCATATATGTTCTTTTTAACGGGTTTAAAGATTCAGAAAATTGTTATGCATTTTCGTGAAATTTTTCTAATTTATGAGAAAAAAGCAGTGTACATGGATATGGTGAAGAGTATAAGTCGACGTGTACATTGTTTAGTGATATTTTAATTAAATGATAGTTATTTTGTGAATTTTATGTTTGTAGGAATTTGGTATACGTTTTAGTTGAAGTAAACGTGCATAGAAATAATTTAAATATTTGACACTAAGTATTTGTAATGCTTGCGGTATGAATTCGTTGGTGACGTTTATAATATAATAGATGATTTAGAGGTAAAAGTTTTTGGATATTTTATTTATTTTATATGTGGAAATGTTCATATTTGGAAAGGGTATATACTTTTTCGCGATCAGGTAATTTCATATATGTTCTTTTTACCGGGTTTAAAGATTCAGAAAATTGTCATGTATTTTCGTGTGAAATTTTTCTAATTTATGAGAAAAAAGCAGTGTACATGGATATAGTGAAGAGTGTGCGCAATGCCATTTTTGTGTAATTCTGGGATGTTTTTTTAACTAAAAATAAGTCGACGTGTACATGGTTTATGTGTTATTTTAAAAAATGCATAAGGAGTATGGTATTGTGCACTTTTTCCCAATTTTGCAGTGAATATTTGTCATGATTAAGCAGTTTTGTTAGATAAAATTTCTAGCATAAGTGTAATTCGGCTAGTAGATTTTTGGAAGAAGTGTTCAGTAGATAAAAAGAAAAGAAACATGTCTTTACTTCGTGAAGACAAAATGGCGGCGGGGAAAAAAATAGAAGGTTGCTGTAGGAGAGTTGGTCGCCAAATTTTCGCCATAAAATCGCCAAGTTACCATAATATAAAGATCAACCCTTCTTTCTTCGACGCTTTGACACTGTGTGAAGTTTCCCTTTGGTACGGGATTGCAACTTTGGGTATCAAAAGCTAAACACTGACAGTAAACAAAGGAAACAAGGAAATGATTGACATGTGATTTAACACACCTGAAAGCAATGAGTAATGCAGTAACGTGATGGGGGAAAGCACTGGGTAGGAAATTATTCAGGCGTTTCGGGCGTCCAGCCGATGTCTGAATGTTTGGGCGTTTGGGGCGACTTTGATGTGAAAGATTTAACCATGATTTACAGTATTTTCTCTTACAATGCAGAATGCAATTTTCAAAGGTATCGTTTTGAATACTGGGTCACAAAGTATCAAAAGACATGCTATTTAAGTAAATAAAGTCAGATAAAAACATTTGAATGAGTTAACATGCTTAAAGAACACAATGCAAATGAATAAATAAAAATTTGTATAACTGTTTGAAAAACTACAATACAACCACCAAATAATTAAAAGAAAATTCTTTAAAAAGGAAAAATCTTAAAATAGCAGCTGTGATTTAAAAAACTAATATAATATAAAAATATTTCCAAGAAAGAAACAAAGTGACATTTTTTCCCCCACACCTTTAGGATAAAAGGGAACCAGAAAGGCTAACATAAACTGAGAAATTTGCCAAGAAAATTACTCTTAGTAGAAAGTGAAAAAAGTCCACTGAACTATGTTTTGGTTTAACTTGGTCATTGTGATGCGTAGTATTCAAATGGAAAAAAACTGGCGGCACGTCATTTCTGAAAAAGCCCAATTTTGAGTCAGGATTAGCATGTTAGAACATTGATTTATATTAATCTAATATATATTCTAAATCACAATTTTAAGACATAAAATGCAAGTTGAATTTTATCAATCGTCCGAATTGAACAGAAGGCATAAAACTGCCACTTCCCCTTTTTAATTGTACATTAATTTTTAATTTTACTTTTATCTTATTTAAAAATACTTTGATAAAAAAAAGCTTTGTAGGCCAGATATTCTCAAAAGTAAACAGTGTAAGATAAATACAAAGTGAAATTAATCAAGAACATAAAATTTAAAATACAGTCAAAAGTCTTTAATCCGGACTCGTCAGGACTTTGGTGATTCTGGATTATCGATTTTTCTGGATTTTAGATCATCAGTTTAAATCTGGTAAGATGGCATTCAGAAATTATAAAATTAAAAATATGAAACCATAATTTATGAAATAAAGAGCAATTATAATCTAAAGTGTATAAAAATTTACAAAAAAAAAAAAAAGGCTTAATATTTATTTGTTTACTTTATTAAACATTTCTTTCAACACGCGCATGCGTAAAGCATACATTACGCATAGTCGAAATTAGAAAATTGCAACCAGAAAACTATTTGATTTGTATTCGTGATATTTATAATGACGAGGAATTTGATTTAAATCAGGTCAAAGACAGAGTACATGGAGATGAAATACTACATTTAGTAAGGAATTATAAGCCAAATAAAATATAAACATCTGCCCTGAATATAAGGATAGTGCTGACAGATCAACTTCCAGTTAATTGCCCGCCGCGACGTCCACCCTCTCCCCACGCAGAGCAGCGTGAAATTAATAAACAGATTTCGGAATGGTTAGAGAAACAAAGGAGCCTTTGTCCATTTTTTTTGCAGCAATTCCACTTTTTGTTTGATGGACATCGAAACATGCTTTCCCTTTGTAGATCCAGCATCGGATATTCTATTTGACATAACTGAAAGTTCAAACTTACTTTTATAAAATTGCTCTAATAGTCTGCAAAAAATAATAAGCCAGATCCAATTCAAAGAATAAGGAACAAAACAATCTGCAACATTAACTGAAATACATAATTAGATAATTTTAGCTTATTTTATACTGTCCGTTTTATATTAAACGTGCATGCATAAACCTATTACGCGCATGCGCAGGAAGTTGGTAGCTTTGAGGTCCGGATTATAGATCATTCTGGATTATGGGTGACCGGATTAATGACTTTTGACTGTATTTAACTTTAAAATACAGTTTGCATCAGGAATCATTTTATCAATATTTCAGTAATCTGTATCGTGTATTATAAAGTGAATTTAAGTCAGTTTGGATTCTTTTGAAAGAGCATTGGCTAGCCACGTATGGACCTCCCCGAAACTCCTGGTTTTTCTTATTTCAAGGTTGGAAACTATACTAAACTGTTAATCTTGTCATTATCAAGTAACTGCAACAAATCTTAATTTAATTCTATGCCCAAGTCTGTTTTTGCAGACTTTTTAGCGGTTTAGTGAGAGATCTGTTTTACCTACTGCATCTGTACTACCTTTGAACTTTATGGGTAAAATTTAAGAAATGATTTTGTTATGAAGTATTAAATTACATCAGTTTCTGTTATTGTGTCATGTATTAAGTTTGCATATATACTTTTCTGTTCTTTATATGCTAAACATGCTTTAATAATACATTATAATTTGTTAACTGACTTTATTTGTTCTATGTAATATTTCTTTGTCATAACTAAGCCTTATCTGCTATTGTTTCAACAGCCATAAATATAAAAATTTGAGTTTGAATTTACTTTCCCCCCCCTACAGTTTGGATCAAAATTGACTTCTGTTGATAGTGATGGAATATATTTATTCATATTGAAAGTGAAAAGTGTTGATCAGAAGAATTTTAATATGTCAGGTAAAATCTGTATTTAAATAGAAATTAATTTTAGAAATTATTTACTGAAACTTTTCTTTTTAAAATATTTTCATTATTTTCAACATATAGCTAAGTGCAGTTGCATATTTTTCTTTTTAAGTGGATGTCGCTATGAAAGGTGAACATGGCTATCTCTCTGCTGTTGATTTCCCTTTGCTTTTGGTATGTAAATCATTAAGTATGGACTTAGTGTAATGATTTGTGTACTGCGTTCTTTTCCTAATTTTTAGCATTGCAAATCTCTGTCAAACATAAAATATGTTAGTTTTTATAATTTGAATTGTTCCTTTGTTCTTATTGCTTATTAAAACTCAAAATCGTAAAATTTTTCCGTTATATTTAATAATTCTAAATCATATAAAAAGTTAAGGTTAACAAGCGTTTAATTATGGTTCATGCAAGTAATATTTTGGGCACTTTTTTTTTACATTTAAAAAATTTTTTTTATCTTTGAATTTTATTAGCTTACGTAGCTTAAAAACTGTTACTTCTTCTAAAAATAGTTACAGAAGTCTGGAAAATAGAGGCAAATGACATTATAAATATCCAGATTTGAAGTGTTACGATTACTGTTTCAATTGTAACAAATTGTGCGTAACAGCTTGTGCTGCATCATATTGTTATAAAATATAAAAAATTGCACTCTTTATGTCAGAATTTCTGAAGTTCTGTGCATATTCTGCTACAAATTGGTGATAAAACTATTTTATGTTCGTTGGGCCCAGTATTTATGCCATGTTATGGTGCTGATATTGATTTGATGTATTTCTTGATCAAGTCGTGTTCTTTCTCCAGATTTGCAATACAGAAACAACTTTGTCCATCGCATTCTGTATTTTTCTTAATCTTCTGCTCATCACATTCTGTATCTTTGTTAATCTTATCCTTGTTGATATTGAATCACATTTTAGTCAAGAAGACTAAAAGAACCTTAATTTTTATTTCATTTTATCATTATGGTAATGCATTTTTGGTGCAAATAATTATTCAAAACATTGGTGCCAAACCTGTGGTTTGTGTACCCCAGGGGCTAAGTTACGGCTTAGTTACGAGTATATAAAAAAATTATGCATAACGGCAGAAAATAACAAAGTGCTGTAATAAATGCTGTTGCAAATAAAAATATTGGGAAAACTTTTAATTTGAGATTGAATAAAAAGAAAAGCAATATTAACTATTTCCAGTATGACCATTACTGACCAAAATGTGTCCAAATGAAATGTAACAAGGGTACCTGATTCCTTATGTATCATATGTAGCTAGTCCTTTGCTGTTGTATCACAGTGTGTCATGCCAGATTGACAGCTGATTATATTTTCAGTACTGAGCAAATAGGTTTAGTCATATAGCTCTCTCTTTACAGTTTGATAATCAAACCAGTTTAAGTATGGAGTTTTCTTTTAAATTCGTCTATTTTTAAAGCTGTTAAATATAGTGTTGTGTGTATAGTAATTTATCAAATGTTTAAAATGTAGACTTTCGCACCAAATAGAAAATATTTGTGGATAAGGGTTCTGACTTGGTACATAGGATTAACACATTTTTGAAGGTTGCTTACTTCAGTTAAGCTGGAAATTTCATATTGATGAATGGTTTCAAGGGATAGCAAAAATATATTGCAATGTTTAAAAAATAAATAATTTGAGTTTAGAATAGCAGAATAGTTCCATGACTGTTTTCAAAGCAAGACTGATTTTGTGCTTGAAGAGTTAGATTTTTTGGAAATCATGATGAAAAAAATCAGATGGAAATATTCAAGATACTTTGCATAATCTCATAAGTAAAGTGAGTTTTTTATAGAAAATAAATGATGCCTTATACAAGAAACATGCAAATGTTACATAAATAAGATGAATAGTACTGACTTTTGCAGTAAATCTCAACACTGTCTCTTCCTATACTATAAATTTTTATTTCCTCATATCAGCCAATAGATTTGAGTAGAAGAAACAAAGCATTTGTATATTGAAAACTATTCTTATTCACTGCCAGAATGGTATGAAACACTAGAATCACATACCCAGAAATCCACTTGCATGTTAGTCTGAGTTGCTGTAAATACAGAATCTTTGTCAACTTTTGAAGACGATAAACATGCATTATTTGATGATCCATCAATGAGACCTTTTCTTTGGAAACCATTTCCACAGAATAGCCAATTATACCTCATTTATAACATTTGTTAATATGTTACATCTGCCATTAGAAATTTCAGGCACAATTTATTTATTTAGGCACTTTTATTATTTTTTTCATTGAAATCCATTTACAAGTTGAAAAAGCAATAGATTCTTTACTTAAAACAGTTTTTATATATTGATCAATAGTACACATTTTTTTTCTTATAAATAATAAGTTGCATAGTCTGAAAGCTCATGTCATAAATCACAACTTCTCCAATGACTCGAAAACACTGTTAAAGTTAGGGCTGTAGCTTTTATTTCACATCTCTGTAATTACTTTAACACTTTCGCCACAAAGGCGTGAACACTCTCTTCTCCAAAGCAAGAACACACTCTCGGTTTTTCTATTTTTGCACAGCATGGCTCTCTGGAGGCATTTTCTACATTTTTCATTCATATATCAGGGAGGTGAGACTGAACATTCTCTCGCCCATTGAAATTGCAAATTTCAATATGAAAATATCAAAACAAATTTTGCAACTTGAATAACAATAATATATAATAATAAAACGCATATTACAATAACACTGTTTAACAACTTAAATGAAAATAATTGTAACATAATGAATACAACACAATTGCAATAATACACCATATAGTCTACTATTGATTTGGCAAGATACATATGTGCCGACTACTTCTTTTAAGAAATTTTCCATCTGATACACGTAAATTGACAACTCTTACCTTTCCGTTCTTGCCAGGAAATATCTCAGCAATTCTAGCAACGAACCATTTGGTTGGTGGAAGATTTTCATCCTTTATAAGTACAACAGTTCCAACTTTAACATTATTTTTATCAAACTGCCACTTTGGTCTTTGATGTAAATTACTAAGATAATCTTTTTGCCACAACTGCCAAATTTTTTTAACATAATTAGTTATTTTTTGCCACTTGGAAAGTCTGTTTTTAGGGGTATCTGTTAAATTAGGCTCAGGTATAGAGGTGATTTCTCTGCCGATCAAAAAGCGTCCAGAGGACAAAACTCTAAAATCATTGGCATCGGAAGACATAAGAGAAAGAGGGCGTGAATTCAAAAACCCTTCGATTTGTATCACAATTGTTAAAAAACTCCTCTATAGTTAAATTAGTATTTCCCACGATACGTTTCAAATGGTATTTGAATGACTTTACGCCAGCCTCCCAAAGACCGCCAAAATTGGGAGCCTTTGGAGGGGTTAACTTCCAGTCAACACCTTCGGAAGATAAATATCCTCCAAGAAGTTCATCAGGAGAATTCACCATATTAAACAATCTCTTTAACTCTGCTGCAGCACCTACAAATGTTTGTGCATTATCTGTAAAAAGTTTTCTAGATTTGCGTCTTTGAGGAAAAATCCTTTTAAGACAAGAAATAAAAGTTTTCGTCGTTAGATCTGTTATGATTTCCAAATGAATTGCATGGGTTGCGAAGCAAATAAATATGCCAACATAAACTTTGTTAAATACACCCTTATGTTAGTTTTTGTATTTTACAAGAAAGGATCCACAGAAATCGATTCCTGTATCATTAAATGGGTTAGGGGGTTATTCAATTATGACAAAGCACACGAGGGAGCCTAAAGGGAGGGATGCCTTCGTGGTGGACTTTCTAAGGGAAACTGGCTATTATATATGTTACACATGTTGAAAGATGGAAAAATGTCAAAATGGAAATATGTCATTAAATGGAAAATTGTCATTAACACGTTCTGATGGCAGATTTCATAGTAACTGAGAAGTAGAAGGATTTGCCTTAAAACAAACAATGCGCTGATGGCAAATCTTTTTGCAAATATTTCTCCCATTTATGGGCCAGTAATTTTCTCACATAATATAATAAAGTTTGCAATCCCACATGAAAGCATTTTTTGTGAAAATACATTACAATTAATTCTGTTGAATGGTTTTTTGGTGGAAGCACCATAGGATGTTTTTTACAGAACTCAAGATTAGAATTTTGGAGGCAACCACCAACTCTAATAATAGAATTTTTATCGATAAAAGGGGCTAAACCTTTTAGCTTACTATTGGGGGCTACTGTTTCACCCTTAGATAAACTTTTCAGCTCTGCCGAAAATTCTTAAGATTGTACCTGTCTGATTAAGATAATCTCTGCTTGCTCTAGTTCAGCATCCTGGCCTTTCAGTACTTGGGTTTCTTCCATTATAGATGAACCTGAAAAGAAAACTTAAAACACGTAAAATATGCATAAAATCATTACTTAAGTCAAAAATATGATTTAAAAAGTCCTTTGTTATACTAAAAAGTTTCAAAGAGTCAATATTGTCACAGTCCTTTTTCAGTTCATTAAAATACTCATCCTCTGTGACACTAAGTTCTGGAGGCTCAGGAATAATATCCTTTAGGAAGTCAGGTCCAGTCCATCAAGTTGAATTATTTAGAAGAGAATCACTACTGCAGCACGGGTAAGTAAATCATCTGGATTAGCCTTGCCTGGACAATGATGCCACGTAGCGTAAGTTGTCAAGACTTGTATCTCCTTCACACGGTTTGATATAAATTGCTTCCACTTTTTACTTGGACTTTGAATTCAGTATAAGGTGACCTTCTTATCAAGATTTCGTTCTCGACCTTTAACTTAACATAAACACCTGCCCCATAAGCCTTCATACTAGCATCTGAAAATGTATAAATTTCCTGTTCTGCATCTTGATCAATAAAAGAACCAAGTATATATCTTGGAGCCTTTAAATTTTTAAGTAGTGGAACTTCTTTACACGACCTCATCCACTTCTCGCTTATATCAGGAGGTAAAGCTTCATCCCAAGAAATTTTTCTTTGCCAGATCTCCTGGAACAGACAGTTGAAACGGATAGTAAAAGAAGTCACAAGACCCAGTGCGTCGAAGATTCTTCCAGCAACCATTACCAGAAATCGCTTGGTGTTCCTTTCCTGTTGGTGAAATTCTAGCAAACTATTAATTTATTAGGATAGGTAATCACTGCATGGATCCCATAAGAGACCAAGAACTCTGT